AGTTGTGAGTGAGCAATTTGGCTACTGCAGAAATTAAGTTTGCTCTGGGAGCCATCCTTCCTGAGCTAAGACAAAAATGTGTGAGCCAGAGGCTAAAAAACTGTGAGCTAGCTCACGCTATCTCATCTTAGAGGGAACACTGCCCTGGAGATTTGGGGTGTTTGGAGCAGGGCTTCCTCTAAGCAGAGTTTTTTGCTCATTTTTGCTCACTGGACTCCACAGCTTAGAGCTGGGGTGTCAAACATGCGGCCCAAGGGCTGGATCAGGCCCCTTGGAGGGCTTCTATCAGGCCCGCAGTGGAAATGGCTGTCTTCTGCTTTTTCTTCCAGTTCTGCTGCTGCATCATCATCATAGCTTTGCAGCTTACAGGTAGTGTACACACCTGAACAGCATACTCAGGATTGCAACAGCACAGGCACTTTGATGCAATAATTCAGAGCAAGAGGAGTCAGTTATCAGACACTGTTAAATAAACAAAATATTGCAGGAGTGCTGATGCTTTAAGCATGTTTTTATTTTAAGTTAAAAAACCCACTTTTTTTTGTCCTGGCATTACATTTTATGGCCGAGCCTGACAAAGTCTCATTTATGTCAGATCCGGCCCTCATAACAAATGAGTTCGACACCCCTGGCTTAGAGGGAGCATTGGTGCAGAGCCTGGGAGCCAGCGGGGAGTGGAGGTGGGAGGGAAGGGATGCCAGCCTCCAGGTGGGACCTGGGGACCCCCTGGGATTATGGCACGAGATGCATACATGTGGGGTGCTTCTGTGTAATTCTAATGGCTCTTCCTTCGCTGACAGTGGTCCCTTCAAAAATGTGAGTGATTGATCTGGAAACATCACAGTTGCTGCAAGGATGTGGCAGAGGCATTTTTATAAAGTGTTTTATGTCTGTCTCTTTCTCTAGTTTGGTGCAGTGGTTAGGAGTGTGGACTCTAATCTGGGAGAACCGGGTTTGATTTCACCACTCCTCCACATGCATCTGCTGGTGTGACCTTGGGTCAGTCACAAGTTCTTTCAGAGCTGTTACCTCGCAAGCAGTCCTCGAAAGAGCTCTCTCAGCCCCACCTACCTCACAGGGTGTCTGTTGTGGGGAGGGGAAGGGAAAGGAGATTGTAAACCGCTCTGAGACTCCTTCGGGTAGTCAGAGGCGGGGTATAAATCCAGTTTCTTGTCTCCTCTCTTGTTTTATTCTCACAACAGCCCTGTGACGTAGGTTAGGCTGAGAGGGTGTGACTAGCCCAGGGTCATCCAGCCATCTTCCGTGGCAGAAGTGGAGATTCAAACCTGGGTTTTTACCCAGATCCTAGTCTGACATTTTAACTGCGACATCACGCTAGCTCTTCTAGGCCGTGAAATAACAATCTCTTCATTTCTTGTGCTGTGACAACATAATAGCTTTTTGGCAGCTCTACTCAGGTTTCTGTGGCTTACGGTATTTGGTAAGGTGGGAATACCAGGCTGCTTGTGTGAAACAATTGTTCTTCCTTATCTTTCATTGCAGGGAATCAACAAAAAAAATCTTAATAGTTGCTGCTGCTGCGGATGCCCGTGGGTCAGAGAATGGCACTTACCAATTTGTATTCTTTTTGGGACAGGACCGTGTCCTTACCTGACTCTGAATGGATCCTGCAATTTCTGCTGCTGCTCTGGCCCTGGGAGGACCCTCACCCTGGCTCTTAGCACTGCTAGGGACTTTACTAGCAACGTTTGCGGCAGCTTACAAACTGGGACTAGTCTACCAGCTTCGGCATCAGGTAAATCTGAGATCAGTTCCCCTTTTTCAGATACCTCACTGTCAGGTAGCCTTGTCATGGATCTGGAATGTGGAGGGGTGCCCTCCTCCTCAGCTCTTCCCTGTCCAGCTACTGTGTGCTATCTCAGACTTGACCTTGTAGTCTCCAGCTGCATTTTACTCGGCTGGGAAAGTAACAGCTTTTCGCTTTGCCCGCTTCCTCGCTTGCTTTCGCCCCTGCTCGCGAACGATAATCATTGGCTTCTGCTCATTGGGGGGGGATGTTTGATTTCACTATAAGTCAGAGGCCCTTATACTGACGGCCATTCCTGACACAAGCTGTACACGTGTTCTTTAGTACTGGAACCACTAATAAACAGTTATCTTCCTCTGAAACCCTGTGTGGTGTGACCTGCCTATGGAGCCTGACACATCCTCTCCCAAGATGGTGCACATGACCTTTGCCCGCTTCCTCGCTTGCTTTCGCCCCTGCTCGCGAACGATAATCATTGGCTTCTGCTCATTGGGGGGGGATGTTTGATTTCACTATAAGTCAGAGGCCCTTATACTGACGGCCATTCCTGACACAAGCTGTACACGTGTTCTTTAGTACTGGAACCACTAATAAACAGTTATCTTCCTCTGAAACCCTGTGTGGTGTGACCTGCCTAAGGAGCCTGACGCTCACATCCTCTCCCAAGATGGTGCACATGGTTTCGACGCTGTAGACCCAAGCTGTGGCCACATTTATCCAGTTGCCCTTTGTTAGGGGTGTGATCCTGGGATTCATTAGCATTGATATTAATTAATTTACATTAATTATAGTCTGCCTGTCTCGCTGAGACTCAAGGTGGATTACACGGAGTGAGTCAATACAATCGTTCAGTAATGAAATAGGATTAGGATTGTAGGCAGATGGAGCCGATGAGAAATCTAAGGAGAGCAACAGGACTGAAGCAAAGCAGAAGTATTGGTGCATTAAATGATGCAAAAATTGCATAGTAGGGCTCTATCTGGAGCAAGCTATACACAGTCACATAGATTCCATGTCACTTATCATTTATCCATGTAATTTTGTAAACCGTTTTGTACTGTTTGGTGTCGTGGTTAAGTACACGGACTCTAATCTGGGAGAACCGGGTTTGATTCCCCACTCCACCACTTGCACTTGGCTGGCTGGCCTTGGGCAAGCCATAGCTCTGGCACAGCTGTCCTTGAAAAAGTAGTTTCTGTCAGAGCTCTCTCAGCTCCACCTACCTCACAGAGGTGTCTGTGGTGGGGAGGGGAAGGGAAAGGAGTTTGTAAGCCGCTCTGAGACTCCTTTGGGTAGTGAAGGGAGGGGTATAAATCCAATCTCCTCTTCTTCTACTGTTGCAACCCTATTGTCTGTGTAGAAAAGCCCCCTCAAATAATTCAGTATTTCACAGAACAAAGGCTGAATCCAGGGGTGCCTTGAAGACTAACAAAGTTTTATTCTGGGTACAAGCTTTCGGGTGCATGCACACTTCTTCAGATACACTGGAACAGATGTCGCCAACCATTACGTATAGGTAGAGTGTGTTGCCAGGAAGGGCTAATCAGAGTCAAGATGCATAAGTAACTGAGCAAAAGATATAGCTGAGACTGCAGGAAGGCAACCGGTAAGACCTATGAATAGCAGCAAGTTAGCATATGGCATAATAAAAGAGTTTGCAGACAGTTGCGAGAACCGAATGACGTTACCATGTGAATGACTTCAGGTGGGTAGCTGTGTTGGTGTGAAGCAGTGGAACAAAGTTTGAGTCCAGTGGCACCTTTAAAATCAACAAAGTTTAATTCTGGGTATAATTATTTATTTATTTAATCACATTTATACCCCACCCTCCCCACAATGCAGGTTTAGGGCGGCTCACAGTCAGTACATACTGATCTGCTGAAGTGTGCATGCACACAAAAGCTTATACCCAGAGTTAGCTTTGTAGTGAGATAAGAAACCGATATCTCTGTTAAGCCCTCGGGGATCCATTGTCTCGAGTGTTGTAGTAACTTGTAATTCAGCAATTTTCTGTTCTAGTCTGTTTCTGAAATCCCTTTGCAATAGAACAGCTACTTTGAGGTTCCCCATTGAATATCTTGGAAGGTTGAAGTGTTTTCTTACAGTTTCTCAGTTTTGTGATTCTTGATTCAGACTTATGTCCATTTATCCTTTGGTGTGGGGTTTGACCTGTTTGCCCTGTGTAGAGAACTGAAGGGGATTGTTGGCACTTAATGGCATATACAATGTTAGAAGATGAGCAAGTGAATGAGCCCAAGATGGTGTAGTTGTTGTTCATGTTATTAGGTCCAGTAATTGTGTTGCCTGGGTGTATGTGAGAGCAAAGTTGGCATCTGGGTTTATTGAAAGCTGTGGTACCAGTCTCTGTGTTCAAATTAGATGTTGTATTACTGTGGGTGAGGAGTTGTTTGAGATTGGGGGGCTGTCTGCGGGCAAGAAAAGGTTTGCCCCCCACTGCTTGTGAAAGAGAACTGTTATTACCCTGTAGAGGCTGAACAAGGTCTGAGTCCAGTTTAAGACCAACAAAGTTTTATTCAAAGAACATGAGAGAAGGCAACGTTGGATCAGGCCAATGGCCCATCCAACACTCTGTCATACAGTGGCCAAAAATACCAGGGACCCTCAGGAGGTCCACCAGTGGGGCCAGTATAAGTATAAGCTTTTGTGTGCAAGCACACTTTGTATGATACTTTGTCAGACATCAGTAAATCACTGGCAATACTTTGAACTGTTTTGAGTTGAGAGCTGTAGTACGACCACTTGTGATGTTCTGTTGTTGTCTCTTTTGGGCCTGTCTTTGCAACAGGTTTACTCTGGGTACCATTCTGGCTTTGTTAATCTGTTTCTTGACTTATCAGGTCGATATTTTAGTTCCAAAAATTTTTGTTTTCGAACTTGTGGGACTTCAATTGTTGTGCGTACGTACTACAATGCTAAATGCAACATTTTCCCGCTCCTAAGAATCTTGGCTCTTTTTTTTGTTTTTTAAGTGTCTGATTCTGGGCTAAGAGTCCAACACACTGGGGAATTTTGCTGAAGAGCTGAAATGCCAGACAAAGAATGATGAGGCTTTCAAGAGCTGGGGATCTGAGACGTCTTTGTTCTGCAAACTATGTCTTTCCTTGTGTATTCTGGTCCCAACTGGTCATGTGAAAGCCCAGGAAAATTAAAAATAGGAAAAGTGGGGAGCACTGGAGGGAAAAAAACTGGACTTTTTTGATTGAATGAAATGCCGTGTAATACAAAGCTGTACCCACATATTTTTTTCCACGCTATACTGTGAGTCAAACTACAGCATTAAATAACTCTTATGTATGCTTTACAGTTTTGCTTTTAGAACTCTAACAGTGGAGTCCTAACGGTGATAGAAGGGTGTTTAGAATTGTGCTTTCCAGCATTTTGTCAGACTCCTGGTCAAGTTACTCTCAACAAAACACTCTCTTTGGCAGTGGTATGTTTATTGAGATATATGCATGATACAGAACAGATTGGAACTGTGTTAGAACTGGTGATTTGGCGCACACCAAAGCAGATATAGGTAATTCAAACAAGACCCCTTTGGCCCCAGGAAAATTACTGCCTCTATAAGAGATAGGTCCCACTCACACCCACTCCCCTC